AAGCTATCGATATAATTGTGAAAGAGAAAAAGATATGTAATTTATTTTTCTCTTAAGTGAGTGGCCAATCTGACACAAAGTGCATACATTTTGACTCTCATCATTTGATCTAACAACTAGATCATGTTATCTCTATTCAAAGTCAGAAGTGTGAATAGTTATTTATTCAGAGGTGAGGAACAGGCAAATGTGTGGATACAGCCCCTGGCTGAAACAGAGTGTTCAAGTGTGTTTGAAACGTTAAAGAGATTATTTTCAGACAAATTAAAAGAAAACGGTACCATTTTACAAAGGGGAGAGTAAACATGTCAAACAGCAAATGTTTATTAAACAATGACTAAGTCAAAGATATTACAAGCATTGTTTTCATGTTTCCAAGCTGCCTCATTATTTTTTTCTTTGATTGCCTTTTTGGTTGAATGCTTCCTGACATGTCATTAGTAAGCTCTTCCTCTACTAAAAATTCTAAGTTACCTCTCGGGTAGACCACTGACCAGCTTAATCTAATTCCCAGCATGTAAGTTTTTATTAGCTTCTGTCCCAGTGGCTAAAACCTCTTGGCATCTCACTTTCCATTTTGTAATCTACTGATCACAGGGAAATTTTATAGGGAAAATAGCTCTTCTCTCCCCCAAAATACCCAGAGGTTTGATTCCTTCAGGAATTTCCTATGTTTTAATTATTCTATAATTATATCACAGAGCTTTTTACATTCTATTGCATCAGTATAGGCTATGTTTCCCAAATGTAGTCATTATGTGATTTAGTTCCTTTTTCGTTTACCATACGAAGATTAGTAGAGCACAAAGTAGTATGTTTAGAAATATAATGATAAATCATGAAAACTGTTTATATCTTCCTTATCACAACGAAGTATTCAAAACCAAACTTCATATATATTTATTTAATTGTGGTATCCTAGTGACATTTTTAAGTCAGTACATTTAAAAATCTTTTCCTGGTTTTCTATAACTTTTATCTATATAATGATCTTATAGGAAGATAAGAAATATGAAATCATTCCTGTTTCATTGAACAGCTTTAATATATTCCTAGCAGAACAGAAAGTATAAGTAAACTACTGTCTTTCCTAGAGGGTTTAAGAATATTCCGCCAAGGAATGTATAGAGAATCCTGACACACATTTCTGATTGGAAAGTCATGTGAAACTGTCTCATCTACCTGTTACTGTAAAAGTGATGGACAGGAAAGGTGCAGCACTAGACTCTGACATACTCTGATATTTACCTTCTGATATAACAGGGAAATAGCACCATAAGCATAGCCTTTTTCTTTTTTCAAAATAGTTTTGACTGAAGTGGGCTAGTTTGTGGAGACCAGATAAAAGACTACAATTGTAAAGAATCTGCATTTCATTTAGGGATGGTGACTTTTATTTTATTTATTTATTTATCTTTGCAGAACATGGGAAAACATGAGCTCTTTACTCATCCTTCTGTCTACACATTCACAGTTCAATCATCCTTCCCTCAATTCATCTTTCCATTGATCCTCCAAACCTTTCTCCTGGTTTATCTCATTTCATGTCATCATACAAACTCATTATCAAGGCTGTTTTTCTTAATAACCTCAAATCCCACAGGCCTTATCCAGATTTCACTGTGGATTATTTGCTATATTTTCTACAAAAGAATATTCTAAAACTTCCTATCATATAAACTGCATATAAACTTTATGGCACTTTATAACCAACACTTTTGGTTTCCCTCATTTAAAAACACGTGTAATTTGTATCAAATGGAAGAATTCCTTGAGTAGCTAAAAATCTACTTTTATTTCACTCTAAACTCTTATAAAAGCGAACTCATGCTCATGAATTCAATGATCAGTAACATTTTCATCAGCTTTCTAGGACTTACACTGATAACCTCCCCATGGGCAAGGCCTCTTCCTGTCATATTATAAAGAAGGACAGATTTCATACCAGTATAAGCTGGACATTCTTCAAGCCTACTGGAATTCTGAACAGCCAGCTGGACAGAAACTGTCAGAAATTTTATTACTAACTCTTCTCTGTAGAGAACTTGTCAACGCTTTCTTCTAAAGAAGAGATAGTGGACATTTTAATCACCTGAATATTGTGTCAGAACTGTAAGACTTAAGTGAATACAATGTGGATCCTCTCCAATATCAAGCAGATACATTCTTCCTATTGTCTATAGATGACATCACCAACTTGGTAAGTATTCTAATCATATTCACCTGGTACAGATATCAAGTTTTCAGTAGCATACCTTACACTTTATATCTACTTTAGTAATACTAATTTCAACTTTCTGAAAATTAAATATATTAGTTCCAAGGAAAAGAATTTTTACGGCCCAGTGTGGTGTGAGTCAGTTAACAGTAGTAAATACACCAGTGAATAAAGTGATTTAATGTGACCCCCTCTTTGTGCCAAGGTGCACATTCTCATTCTGCTTATAATAAGATGTGCCGAGATAAGAAAGGGAATTTATGTGAATTTTGTATCACTTGTTTGCAGTATTTTTGTATCAAGAATTTTTATTTTTGGGCTCAAATATTTTATCTGGAGTTAAGGTATTTTTAATAATTGGGTTATGTGTGAGAACAAGACATTTATAGACAACACGGTGTGAATCTGTGAAAACAAAGAGTATAGACCTTCTCCTTCAAATTAAGTGCAGCTTAGGGTAACCTGTTCACGGTTACACAGTCAAGATTTCCTGAGATCAGGAAATTATCATTAGGACTGATTGAGGGAGTTATTCTGAGAGGTTTCCCTGTTTTTAGAGAGTAAGCTTTCATTCTTTTGTATTTATTGAAGGAAGATAGGCTGTGAACAATTTTCACAGACCACAGTCTAATTGTTCTCCATTCACACATATTTATAGTCCTTACATGTCACCCCTGGGATGCTGGTTTATTGAATAAGTTTCCTACTGGGAAATGTTGAGTGCTTCTGGGGGGAAACTCACATAGTCTAAATTCTGAGAAAAAAAAAAAGCTGCAACTTTCAGAGAGAATCAACTGTTTTTACAAAGACTGTAAGAAGCTTATTAATAGTCCTGGTATTTAATACGAAAGAACACAGATTCCTAAGTTATTCATGTTACATACATGACAAACACTAGTTTTAGGTAAACTGACTGCTTCCATATCTATTAATCTCTATTTCGGCATTTGCTTTACTCCAACAGATACATCTGAATAATGATGGTCTTTGTGTTCCCTTTTTTCTGTGACTTTTATTTTCGTGGCTCTGCAGTGCTTTGACAGGAGTAGTAGGGGGACTTTATGACAAAACCGTTTAAAAAAATACCCAATTGCAATTCAGAATTCTGAAGGATCTTTTGAAAGTAATAACCTACAGGACATAATTGACATTCAGAAACTAAAATCTGATCTACCTCTAGCAATGAAATTATACTACTCTGAAAGGACTGCTATAATAAATCCACCTGAGAGTGTTAAAAATGTAGCCATTAAAGTGGCCAAGAAAATATTAATGTACTAACATTACATGTTTTATGCTACTTCCTTAAAACCTCAAGATAAATTAGTAGTAAAAATGTATCCCCTAGGCTAGATTTCTAAATGAGTTAACATGCTGTGTAAAGTTAGTGGATACAAAACAATTACATTTTGTAAGCTGCAAATGCAAAACTTTAGTCTTTATTTTCCATGAATTACTGGTCACCAGTGACCCTTCTTTTTGAGGGGGAGACAGAGGAGCCATCTCTTTTGTTTTTTAAAAAACCAATTTCTCTTGGTTCCTTCCCTTCTTTCTGCTTTTCTAGTTATTCTTTGTCATATTCCTACTCTGAATGCTTTCTTTTTCTTTTTTCCTTTTTTTTTTTTTTTTTTTTTTGCTTTAATACATGCTGTTCCCTCTGCCTGGAATAAATTCCCTCTTGTTTTCCTGACCCACTTAACTGTAGGGAGTACATGCATCATAACTTAGCTCAAGTGCCACCTCCTTTATGAATGTTTCTCCTATGATTCCCCACAGCTATTCTAAAACTCAGTTATAATCCATACCATATTGCATTATATCTACCGGTTTGTTTGTGTGCCCTCACGATGACCATGAGCACTTTCCTGACATGAAATTTGTACTGATATTTTTATCCTCACCATCATACACAATCTTTGGAACTCTACTGGCAACTAATCAAGGTATGCTGAAGGTATGAGGGATAGAAGTCCTGCTGTCCCTCAGAGAAAAGTTTAGAAGGTCTGCGTTACAGCACTGCTTGAAAGCACTCATATTTACCCGTGGACTAAAGGGCTACTAAGTGAATATAAACTTAATCCAACAACAATTAGAATTTTAGAGTAATATTAATACATTAACAATACATACTTTTAGCCCTGGCCATTTTGGACTCATTTATCCTTTTGTACACTTATCACATCTGGTCCCTAGACTGAGATTTAAACAAAAAAATTCTAAAATATGTCTGCTAAATGAAAAGGTTTAACCAAAGGGTTTTCAAAAAAAAAGTAATGCCTTTGGGTTCAAGATATTTTTTCTTTACTAGAGTTTTAGTGTATTTCTTTCTTTTACGTTCAAACTGAAAATTTCACTCAATACCATAATTATTTTTTCAACCATATTATAAACTGCAAAATGAGATGTTGTCTATAAGAAGGTATCACTTCTTCTCACACAATGAAAAGAAAATTTGGGCTTTAGGATACATACTTGTATTCTACGTGTACACTTACAAGTTTTTATTCTATTTTTATGATTAATTACTTCTGCTATATTTTGACTCAGAGCCTGAAGTCTAAATTTAAAGAAGACTTGACAGGGTATCAGAACCAACTAAAGATGAAATTCATTAATTACCTGTACAACCATAATTAGGACTACTATTCACTATTGTAGACACCACTCATAATATGAACAGAAACATGGCTCTTCGTGCCCCAAAGACTGCATATATATCCCTACAGGGCAATCCCATGCTCAGTCTCCATGGGTGAGTATTTGAGAAGAAAAGAGAGTTTACCTTCTTTGTCCTTGGTGTTTAAGTGTGAGAAGAGGTTCCCGTTGTCCTGTACGCAGTACACCTCTCGAGTCTGCACCCCTCCACCGCAGAGTGCCGTCTGGTTGCCCCGTCTCTTGTCCTGCTGACTGAGCAGAGGGTCCACACGGCACTCGGACCACTCTGTAGTCCTCCAGCTGTACCTAGATAAAGGAAACGCCATTCATCTTTATTGAATAGAACTTTTCTTTGCTCCTATTTATCCTTTAAAAAATTAACCTGAAAAATAATTTCCTCTTGAATCAATCTTCGACTACATCTATGATGCAGATTCAGTTTCAATTCCTTCTACATCCATTTAAGAGGGGTTAAATTTAAGATGATCCATTTTAATTGCAACTATTGGAAGTTACTTATAAATATTTTATGAAAAGAGAGCATAATGTTGAAAACATGAAATTTTATGTTCAATTAAGCTGAACTCAGGCTTGCCCTTTTCCTGACGCTTATAAACAAAGGAAGATTGAATCTGCGAATGGAAAACATAAATGTTGATGAACACAAACATTTGTTTGGCTTTAATAAAATGCATGAAAATTGCTTCTTCATACTGGGTCAAAATTATAATTGTGTGTTTGTAATAAAAATATAACATAATTTAGAGTTTTCTCTTTATTGTTGAGAATAAGAGTTTTTTTTTTCCCTGTAGCACTGAGCATCCCTGATGAGTGCTGATGAATGATGAAAAGAGCTGACATTTCTAATCTGTGGAACACAGGAAAGACGATCTGTGATTCTACATTAAAGCTCCAATCAAGATCATGATGTGGAAGAAATGTCAGGGGATTGTCAGCCCAACCCGTGCTTTAAGGCGATAGCCAGGGAACCATTTCCAGATGTCACTGAAGATAGAAAGTGATGGCATTTCTCCACCTTAAGGAAAGTGGATATTCTAAAAGCACAAAGAAAATGGCTCATGTAGCACTTTGTGTCTCTTTAACCAAGATGCTTTCTTAGTTATCAGATTAACAGCCAACACAGGTACAATGGATGTGCTCATGTTCATCTCAGTTAGACAGAAAGGTTCAATGGGCCCTTGAAAGTCTGCTCTAGATGCTTTGCTTTGTCAATGGTAAAGTTTCATGAGAGTAAAGCTGAACTTCATGCCCATTTTTCATTTTTATAAGTGTGGGTTCGTGATTTGACAGTGGTGCAGGACTGAGGCATCAAGGAACAATATTCTTGACATGTATTTATAAAGGAAGTGCAGCATTCAGGTCAATTCTAAAAACATGGGTAATTGGTGCCTTGGGCAGGGAGAGGGGAAGGAAAGTAACACCAAGCAAGTCATTCATTAGAGGAGTTAAAATGAAAATTTTATTTCTTATAGAATGGAGTCCCAATTTAGGTCATCCTAAGGAGTCCTGTGAGATGAATAAATTTTCAGTAATGTAAAGTGATTATACATTCTTAAAAAAAATGCTACCATTCACAAAGGGGAAGAAGAAAGAGGCTCAGAATATCTATTTATTTTGTTAGTAATGGTTGAATATCTGAGAGGATAAAGGATAAAACACTCGACTTGAGACAAAAATTGAAGAAACTCATAGGAAACTCTGATTAGAGATCTTGGGAACTTCCTTGGACCTATTATATAGAGAGGAACACCCAAGTCAGTGGAACGAGCAGAGAAGTTGGGAAGGAAACTCTCCAGGGTGTTGGGTCACCTGTCACTCAGGGGAGAATGGACGATTCCAAAGTGCCTCAGAATGAATGATCCTGTGTAAACCATCACTATCCTTTGTTACTGCTGTTGTTATTATTATTACAAGTAGCGGAGGAGGAGGAGTTGTAATTTTCTTTCTCACTGTTTCATGAAGTTCAGGTGCATGCATGTTCTTTAAGTGTTTGAAATATTCCAAGAAACCTTTCAATGACACCTGTGGATATCTATTGAGAACCTAAGATTCTGTAAGTTGTTTTATAAAGATTCTATATTCAAACTAAGCTGAAATATATTTATTGCCAAGATAATTCACAGTGATGTCCTAGAAGTGATTTTTTTTAAGGATAAAAAGAATATAGTTATACTGCCAAATATTTCAAAATTGGACTTATTTCATCTGAATTCAACAAACATTTATCTGACACTGTGTGCCTGTCCCTATGATACATGCCAGTGATTTAAACACAAACAAACAAAAAAACAAGGTTAATAAGGACAGTCTTTGTCTTGAAGGAACACCAAGTCATTATTTTGATGTAGTATTTTACTCTATTCAATAGGATCTGTTATATATAGTACTGAATTTTAATAGGACTGGCTCAAAAAGCAGCAAGTACCTCTATTTTGAAAGTTTATTTTACCTTACAGACTAGTTGACAAAATATGGTCCAAAGACCAAGTCCAACGTATTCTATGTTTTTGTAATAAATTTTATTGGAACATATCCTCACTCATTTGTTTACACATCGTCTCTAGCTCCAATGGCAGAGTTGAGACATTGCAACAGAAACCTATATGTCTCATAAAGATGAATAATATTTACTATCTTCTCCTTTACAGAAGAAGTTTGCCAATACCAATTACAGGCAATACACCAACAGAGAATTGCTGTTAAAAATCTAGCGTTCATGGAGATTTGGAAATACAGCTTGTTAAAGACACTTTTATTCCTAAAAACCAGTATTTTTTTTTAACAGGATAGTGAGTGTTTCTAAACAGACATTTTATTTTTCCACTTAGAATTTGTAAAAATCATCATTCCTCTACATACTATTCATTGAAATCAAACAGCTAAAAGAACGTGCAGTTTGGGCCGACAAGGCAGCAGGGGCTGCCATCCTCTATTTACTCACGTGGCACAGGGGGCAACTCCATGTCCTTGAGACACACAGGGTTCTTTTTCCTCAAGTTCTGGACACTCCTTCTCGCTGCCAATAGGAAACTGCCTGATGAGCCGCGTCCTCACACGGGTGCCCTTAGGGGATGTCATGTCGTGGCACGTTTTGGAGCAGGGGCTCCACTCAGACCACTCTGACACCTGGCACTCTTTGGTGATCACACAGGCCTGGAAGGTCACTGGCAGCTTCTCTTGCTGGCAAAAGCTGCAAAAGAGCATCAACATTCTCAGAACAGACTGACAGGCAGGCATGAACTTTGTCTTCTACACTCCAGCGTGAAATCAGCTTGGCCATTTTTATTTTCACTTGAAGGTGCAATTCCAATTTCATTGAAAATATGTCAACATTTACGAGGTGTAAAACCTGTTAGACTCAAAGCTAACATTTGCATTGCCTCCTATTTTGTTAAGAGCTGTTAAACCATTCACAGGAAACAGAAAATAAAAGGATTAAGCAAAATTAGCTGAAACGAAACTTACCATATTGTTCATTTTACTCATTCCAGATTTGTTTTAATTTAGAAAACAAGGAACAAAGAACCGTTAATATGATAATTTCCATTCTGTTTAGTGGTTTAAATAAACGTGCCTGGCTAACTAATACAATATTATTTTGAATAGAAAAAGTAATTTACACTTAAGATTATGTCTAATGTCATTTGAAACTTAAGCTGTCAATTAGAATTATAATGCATGCTTATTCAAATACATCAACTTTTCCAGTTCACACTTTAATAAAGCAAAGTATATGAGTATACTAAATACATCATAAGCATTAGAAATATAAATTTATTCATAGCTATATTACTGTAGAAATATCCTTTGAGTAATCTCTAATATTTATTCATCAGTTAACATAAATTATTTATGTTCAAATTCTTATCCATCTAGTCTTCCTTGAATTACAGGGATGTTGAATTCCAAACTGTAGTGTCCACATATGAAAATGAAGATGATGTTATGAATGCCAACAACGTATGCACTTTGTGAGGTTTTCCTGGAACTGGATGGCCTTGTGTTGAGTTTTCGTTGAACTCTTGTTCATTCTCAGTAACTAGTAGCTCATGTTTATAAGACACAGGCAGCCTGTTGCCACAATAGAGCATCTGTTCCAATGGGAGAATATACAGATAATTCTGTCTCATCATTCAGGTGCTATATTTAACTATGGTAATCAACCATACAGAGAGGCAGGTCATTTTTAATGTAACAACTCACATTCAATCTTCTTAATTCTAGTGGCATGTGTACGAAACCTGCATTCCTAGGAGACAATTAGAGCTCAAAACGTCAAAGTCAATTTGTCTGTGCTGAGAAGTCTGGGCAGCAGAATCATTTGAGAGTGGCAGTAGAAGGGCCCTGTGAGTCAACACTGTTTTTCTCATAACAACAGAGACGACCAAAATTCCCATTTTTATTCAAAAGTCATGTATTGAGTATTAATGATGCCTCAGGTGTAACACTAACCTTAGAGCAAAGCTTTCTCTGTGATGAGCAAATTTTCATTCTAACACTAACGAGTTTTTTCAGGAAAATCAGGCAAAATAATGATTAAACGATGACCTCTTTAACTCCTTTCTTAGAAAATCCTCCGGGCTTAATTTCTTCTTAGATACATTTCTAATCCTTCATGAGATTTTCATATACATATACACATATATTATCCTCTACGTACAGCTTAGTAAGTTCATTTTCTATATAACCCCTTTTAACCTTTTGTGGACAATCTGACCGTCTGTTAACTGCCTCCAGTTACAATCACCTGGTAACCTGATGAAAGCCAGAATACCAGCTCCGTTAGTAGATAATATTATTTGTGATAAAAATGACCACTTTGGATAAATTCCATTTACACTGGAGAAACTAAAACTACCCGGCAGGCAGTCACAGCTTTGGGCTTCCCTAAATGTGGCAGCTCTTGGGACAGGGTTTGTTTTTTGTGGGACCTTGCAGGCTATGACAATGGGATCACTTCAAGAGATAACAGCTCCTGCGGGGCATGAGACTTTTAAGCCAAGACAGTTCTTGGACCTGCCTGATGTACAACTATCTTCTTCCACCTGAGCTGTGCTACCTGGATTTCTAGGAGAATTTCCACCAGATGAGGAATGACTGTTGTTACAATGAAGATAAGGTCTATATCCTTCAAAACCAACTGATGACAAATGTGGCCTATGATAGTCTTGTGAGTCTTGTGTATCCGAAAGTTTGTACAGCCAAATTTAAAACTTAATTCACATTACCTCATTTAATACTCCCAATAATTATTCATATGGGTACCATTATTATTTCCATTTTATAGGGAAGGAGTCTCTGAAAGGTTAGGGAATGTGTTCAAGATCATATAGCTAGTAAGCAGTGGACTGGAATTTGAACTTGAATTTTCTAAAATCAGAGTCCATTTTCTTAACCACTCTGCCCTACTTCTCATAGTTTGAAATGACTATAAATCTCAGTTTGTTAGAGCAACTGCTTTAGTTGAGGCCAATGCCGAAGTTTCTAGCACACTGCAAATCGACTAGCATTACTATTTCACAGCCCTAAGATTTGTACCATGCTAGCTAGCACTTTGCAAATGTGCCATTTGTCCTAAGGGGGACCGAATAATTATGGAAAAGCCAAAACAAATACATTTTCCTGATACATGTAACAATTTTTAGTACAGGTCCTACATATGAGCAACTAGCAGCATAAACACAAGAATAGTATGAGTCATATGATTATGTAGTTTAACATATATGACATATATAACATGTCTATATATCTGTCTATCTACAGTTTGTCTTTCCTTTAATTTTCCAATATCCAAAATCATTATTTCAACACATGCATATTCAATAACTCTACATATTGGGCTTCAGAAATACTAAGACACGATTAAAGTAAATAATTTGGAAGCATAAAACTCTGCTTGGGGAGACACAGAAGGTTGTAGAAAGTAGTGGGTTACTATGGTGAATTTTCAACAATATATTAGAATTTGTCAGATTGAGATGATGGTAATTCATGCAGATATGAAATAAAACTGTCTTCTGTCTTCTGTAGTGGGTGGAGGAAATAAAGATGTTTTCCTTGACATCAATGTAAGTTTTTGTTGAGCACTGGAACTGAGAGTGGAATTGAAGCCCAGGTCGGATCAGAGGCAGTTATGCAGATCTAAAAAAGCACCTTCTTTGGGTGAGAGAATCACTGAAATGTTTGGAGCAAAAAAGACATGATATTTGTATTTTATGTAGATTCTGATGATAGGGTGGAGGATGGAATATTAGGGTACAGGATTAGAAGCAGAGAGACTATGATGATGATAATATCAATATTTATAATAAACATAGACTGAGGGCTTACTATGTGCCAGACATTGGTCAAGCTGAGTGTGGTATGATCATGAACATGAGATTAACTTTCACTGAATTGTCTACTGTGAGTCACATACTGTTGAGTTCTACCTAGAATATCTCATTAATTCTGAAAACTATTCTGTGAGGTAGAGATGTACTTTTTTTTTTTCAAGATAAGGAAATGGAATCCAAATGTCTCACCCAAGACTAGAGAGAAGAACTAAGTAGATCTTTCTGCTTACGAGGCTTACGAAAGTGCCAACAAAGGCAATGGCAGTAGAAATGAAAAGGAGTTACAAACTATAAAAAGGAGAGTCAGAAACCATGCAACCTGATGTGTAGTTGAAGGGGTTAAAAGAGAGGAAGGAGTCATTAAATAACTTGGGAGTTTATAGCTTTGGTGATCTGGTGAGCACTACTGCAATTCTTTGAAAAGGGACACATGCAATAAGCAGCAAGTTTCTGGTAGTTGATAAGAGAGTTCAACATTCAACACTGAGGACTGATATGGATACATCCAGCACATCTCCAACACACAGAAACATCTACTAGGCAGATCAAAAAGCAAGGATCAGGATTTGGTTGAAATTTCTGGATGCATAATTAAAAAAAAATTACTTATTTATTTATTTAATTTTATTTTTTAAGGAGGGATTTATTATTTATCTTTAATAGAGGTACTGAGGATTAAATCCAGGACTCTTGTGCATGCTAGGCATGCACTCTACCACTGAGCTATAGCTCCCTCGCTAGCTGCACACTATTAAAAATCATGAGCACATCAGAGTTCAAAGCCAAGGCCAGAGGAGTAGCTGAGAGCTCACACACTGGGGCTCATTTTAGGCCTCCATAACTCACTCATGGCCTTATAGTGGACTTTGGTAGGCCTACAAGCACTCTGATGCTTGTTAATGTCATTTTGTGATTGTTAGTGAGACTAAATAGGGTCACCAAATCATCTGTGTGTACCAAATTATTCAGCTATTATTCTCTCATTCTGGCCATGCAAATAGTTGATATAGTTGATACAGAGCTTAGGGGATCTATACATTTTGGTTCATTATGGTTTTCATGAGAACATGTCCCTCTGGGAAGTCAAAGGCATGGGGTGTGCTTCTGCAAGGGCAGCCTGGTAGAAGATGTGATGGTCACTGTAACAGTTTCCTTATCATTCACATGGTATAGTCAGGACAGCCCAGGCAGCCAGGACTGGACAGAAGAAAAACTTGGCTTTGAGACAAAAGCAGTTGTTACTTAATTACCATGTAGCAGATAGACAGTAACAAGGCTGAAAAAAAATGAAAAAGTAGAGGGCAAAGTTTACTATTTCTCTTTAAAAAGATTTCATTCAGAGATGACAGAGCACAGATATTCCTGACAGTTACTTCTAAACTCCAATTACCCAGTATATTTAACATTTTTTTTTGTCAGGTCGAGGATAAAACTGAGAAACTGTTTACTTTTTTTTATTATTCAAGTTAAAAAAAAATTAAAATGCCATTTCAAATTTTTTCCCCTAAAATTATTTCTGTAGCCCACTCAGTAATCATAGCACCTGTCAAATATACCTTCTTAACCTCCTAAAATACCATTATCAGCATTTAGCGTCTTAAATAGAAACTTTCCAAGACCCTCATTTTCTCAAGGTCAAATCCTAACTTTCCTCCCTGGTAATCAAAGCTTTCTATAATCCATCACTGCTTCTGCTGCCCTCTCTCTGGTCAGCAGGGAGCCAAAATTAACTTGCAGTCCTCCTCCCTAGCAGCCCGCAATTCTGCCCACTCTTCTCACTGTCTCCAGATAACATTGGCCCAGCTCTCTCTACCCACTTCTGTCTGTACTAGTTGCCATTTGGAATCCCACTTCC